TTTTAACGTTGCGCCTACATTAATATATTAAATTTATTAATACATAAATATTTATATAATATATAATATTAATATGGTATTAATATTAACTGATATTAATATAAAATTAATTATATTAATAGGTATTAATATATTAAAGATTGCAACGCTGAGAGACATCCCATTTAGCCGGCAACGAAGTACAATCCTCGATTACAATGAAAACGGGATAGAGGTTCAACGCGAAGACACGACGACGCGATAACGCGACGCATTGTTATTCGTGCGGCACGATAACGGCAACGACGATGCACTAATATGCGTTCAACAAATGCGCGAGGAATTTGATGTTGATGAAGCGTCTCGCCCCACTACAGTTTTTATTCAAGTGTCGCTGTATGAATAATAACAAAATCATGATACGTAAACAATAGCGCGCCAATGTTTACGCCGCCAAGGCTGAATACCATGTTATTGAAAAGTCGTTGCCGAAATATTTTATATACTCGCCCCACTACAGTTCTATTCAAGTGCCTTTGTATAAATGATAACAAGACCGTGATACGTAAACAATGTTGACGCGCGTCAATGTTTACGCCGCCAAGGCCCATGTTAGGTATTGTTCTAATTCGCTGCCGAAATATTTTACGTACTATAAAATATATATGCGAAATATTAAATTATATGAGTATTTTTTAATTATAGATCAATTATTTAAATAATTAATTATAAAAAGCTATATAAATTAAAATCATAATAATATGATATTGCTTAAAATGCTTGATAATTTTGTTTCAAGAATAAGAAAAAAGTAAAAGCAATTTATTGTAAATATCTTCTACACGTTATATATTTAAAAATTAGGAAAAATTATTAAGAACATTAATTTGAGAAAATTTATTTTATGTCGCATGCGTATATACATAAAAATACTTCAATAATAACTTATTATCGCTGTCCGTAATATATACTAGAATGGCAAAACATTACAGCTAATAAAACATTAATAAATCCATTTCTCTGCAATTTTGATCCACCATTATGGATCTAGCACACACGTGCACCAACCGGTTGTTTTACCGTAGTACCGAAAAATGGTTCTGACCATGTAGTTCCGCCGTCTCTAAAATGAATCTAGTTGACGCTACTGTACCAGCTAGAAAAAGTGTCTTATGAAAAATGGCTGCGTGATCCTTCTCAGGTTTCTTTCTGATTCTACTTACATTTTTAAATTTGGCGCAAATTTCAGTTACCCATCACGTGACTCGCATTAAAATATATCAAACTCGAATATATATATATATATATATTCGAACTCGAATATATCGAAGCATTGAAACCTTTATTCCGTGATGCTGATTGTCTGTGCGCTGCGATTTGCTTTACTAATTTTGAGATAATTGAGTGTCATATTTTGCTTGGACAATGTCACAAATGTTAAGAATATGTGTGGACGAAGACAAGAACTTTTCTGATAGCAATGAAGGAAAAATATATTTTCAGAATATCAATTGCATGTATAATTTTTTTTTTTCAGATGATTTTAAACCTGCGAGCGTTGAAAATTCAAAAGTAGCTAAAGTCGATGTGGGTTCAGATAATACGATAACAGTTACAGTTCCACATTTAGATGGTGCTGGTGCACCTCAGACTGTGTTCAAAGGTTCTCAAAGGCCTTATAACAAAGAATATGTTCTAATATTTGACAAGAATACCGGAGATATTACATTGGAGAAGCTAACCGCGAATATCCAAGTTAAAAAAACACGGTATGTTTATCGCATTTCTTTTATATCATATTTGTTGTACTTTATCAAGTCTTAATATATTTTGTATTATTTGCAGAGCGGAACCTAAACGAAATGGTAATGGTAATGGTAATGGTAACTCTGCATCTGTTGAGGTTAAAAAAAGCCCTCCATATGGCAGAGCACATGGAAGAACCAAAGTTATCAGTGGGAAAAAGAAAGAACCTTTGCTTCAATTGCATCCCAAACAGAGTCCACAACAGGCATCGCCGTATGATAAAAGAAGTCCGCCCAGTACATCTACCAATAAGTATGTTTCAAATGTATAAGTATATAAACTATCATATAAAACATATTTTCTGTATTAGATCAGGGATATTGGACAATACACTATTTAAGCAGTAAGCAAATTGATTGATTAGTCAAGCATTTTTTAGAAGATAGATTATGTCGAGGTATATTTTCAATTATATCCAATTAATTTGTTTACTGCTTGCTATTTAAATCTTTTTCATGTAATATATTATGGTTTTTGCTTTTTGTCACATATAGCATTTAAGAAAACAGAATTATTGAATATACTCTAATTGAATATAATTTGATTCAGTTGTTCACCTGTACGTCCATCAAATGGACAATCAACCTTGGCCAGCTTGCCGATGATTGGTTTTGACAATGATGATTTTGTGCTATCGACACCAATGATGCCTATATCTTCCTCTGCACCAGCCATAACTATTTCTCCGCCAATTCAAATACCAAAAACAAAATCGACTACTTTAGAAAGTGATTCCAGTTCGAGCAGTTCAAGTTCAGACAGTTCAAGCAGCGATTATGAAACGGAGACTATTCCAGTGCCAACAGCGACTAATGGTAAATATATTATGTAATAAAATTTTTCTTAACGTTTTTTATAACTAAAAATTTATTGAAAGTTTATCTATCTGCTAAAACTCTCATTTTTAAAATGCTATATTTTTTAGGTTATTTAAATGGTACAACAGCCTCACCTACATTGTTCATGTCAGATAATCTCTTAAATGATGATCTACAATTATCGGAATCAGAATCCGATAGTGATTAATGGTGATTTGTTATTAGAATACAAAATAAAATTGTTTAAACAGTCAATTTTATTATTTTTGTTTTTCTGCTAATAATATAACAATAATTTTATCGATTATAATAAAAAAAAATTTTTTTCTTTTTTTTCTGATTTCTTACTGCACTTATATTAAATGATATGATGTTATAGATGCAAGAA